CTAAAGTACCTAGTCTAATTTCATCATGAAGGTTGCATGGTCTTTGGCGGCTGCTGCACATAAATTCTATGCTTGCAATTTACGGTTCCTATAATGTCTGCCACAAATCTGAAAACTCAAAGTTTTTTGTTCTGTTTAAAGTAGTTAACTATTCTTACGCCAGTTTACTTTGTGCTCAATAGTGCGTAACAAGTTCTTGTCATCAACGGTGGGAGGAGAACACTTTCGTCGTCAACATGTTCAAGGCCGAGCTACAAAAACGCGGCAAATTCAAGTGTTTCATCTCAAACGAGCACGATGACGAGGCTCTGATGTTTAAATTCTACCGACCAACTGCCATATTCTACGCTTTATTTTGGCCAGCCGTTACCTTTTCGGTATCCCTCCTCACAATAATTGGCATCTACGTCGTGGATCAATGCAAGGTCTGGCAATCGGACGCTCTTTGGATTGCATGAAATGTCGTCAGCTATTGCATTCCAGTCACCTACAGTATTACTTCCATCTTCAACCTGGTTCCTTTCCTTTTTGTACGTTTTCTACAACTGCATGGAATAAAAAAGAAATGACATTTAACGTTGTTGTTACGTCTGTGTTATTTATTATGATACCTCTACAAGAGGTTAGAGGTCATTGGGATAATAGCTTGACTTCCAAGTCTAGTGAAATGTTAACGTGATGAAGCAGTTGGGGCAAAGTCCAAGGGCATACAAGTAGTTACACCGAATCGGACCAATCTGATTGCGTCCTTGAGGGGTAATAAGCCGAGTGGCTTTCAGGCTCACCAGAGTGGTAAGGCGGAGCAGTAACGTCGGCCGGTGGCTTGTGCAATTTTATCAAGTGCGCGGCCTGTGCTGATCGATAGTGCAGTGTAGGACAGCGTACTAACGAGTATATGAGGCCTGCGCCTGACAACACCAAGCAGATGTTTCCAAAAACTGCTAATAAGAAGACCAAGCAGCCCGACTGCCAAGTCACCGGCAAGATCGAACAAATTCCCACACGACTCGTTGTCAACATCTTTCATCTGCTAACCGAACCCATTTCAAGTGAGTTTATATTTGCTGAGTGGTATTGACTAAGCAACGGTCTGACCACATATGACCACACCATTTTAGAAATTGTATCAGTATGCGTTAAGTGTGTTGAATATTTTCTTTTCGCTTATCATTATGTGTTCAGGAGACTCAGAAGAAGAAGATGCGACCACTGCAACAAGAGTTTTATCTTCCGGACATTGCGGATTTCGTCGGGAATTTTTAATTAAAGGAAGTGGTAGGTTTGTCTGAGTTATGCGCAGATGAGCTGCAACCTGGGAGTTAGCGTATTTATTCTTCACCAGGGCTGCATCCTCGGCAACTCATGTGTGAAGTAATCTCCCGGTTTCTCTCATGTGGTTGATGTGTCCACAACTGCACCAGATCCGGTAAACGACTCCAGTCATTTTCTGCCCTGACTATGGGTCGTTGGGTCTCATGATCCGGCGCCTGATGGTTGCTGCTGGCCTGTGAGCAACTCCAAATCTAAGTGTGGTGAATAGACGGCTGACCGCTTCCGATACATTCTTTTCGTAAGGAAGAGCTCGCTTAACTGTTGGATGTGTCTTCTTCTCTAGTTTACGTATGCATTGGTTGACAAAATTGCGTGGGTAGCCATTTGCTCTCAGTTCCCGTCGAATATGTTGTAATGCAGCAACTTTGTCTTCCACTTCGCCGCAATGCGTCTCAGCGCGCCTGTATAGGGCTCTTATTCAGCTGCATTTGTGACTGATTGGACGGTTGCTATTGTAGTTCAGGACTTGCTTAGTGTCGATTGTTTTCCCGAACACTTTAGTTTATAGGCCACCACCGTCTTTGCGGCAAACTAAGACATCCAGGAATGCCAGCTAGTAGTTTTCTTCTCCCATCATCGTAAATTGAATGTCCGGGAAGACGGCATTTAGAAGTTCGTTGAATATCAATACCTGATCACGCTCAATTATGAGGAAAGGTCTCGTCTACATTCGAGCCCAGAATTTTGGTCTGTGGTGCCAAAAATCCAGCAACTCCAACCGTTGCAAGACCGCCTCTGCTACG